GCAAACTCGGTAACATTCTGAGAACTCTTAAATTTCTCTCCATGACTCTAACTTGCGACAATCACAGTCGTTTAGTTTGAGGTATGTCTATAGTCCTAATGTGCATAAAAATGGCCGCTTTACAGTCGATTTTACACAAATTTTGCCAAATTTTTTGGAAATTGGTTGCTAAGTTGCAAGGTTTACAACAATGAATTTTCGATAGTGGCAACAAAAGTCATATTAATTTCCAAAATTCATATTAATTTTTAAACTTCAAAACAATCTTGTATGCTTTGTCCATGTACACTCAAAAATACGAGTACCTTTCACATTTACATTCAATCACCACAGAGTTATACTAAATATGAAAGTCGCAGGTTTCAATATCAAGCGTTTTGATAGCAGTAAAGATCCCATGTTTAGACGCTATGATTGTGTGTCTTTTGCATTTTATGTGTAAGAAGGAAAATTATTTAAGATCAATAACTTGGAAACACATTTACATGAATTACAATCGTGGCTTTCCAGTGATTTAAAGCAAAATTTCTCTTTCACGCAAATATATCAAAAATTAAAAAATCAGCTGAGCAAAACCTTAATGATATGAGGACATTTTCAAGCGACGCACGATTTACTAAAGTTAATCATCCTTTGTAATAAAGGTTGATCTCTGAAAATAAAAAATGTAGACGTCATCTCTTCGAAAAGCGTACGTTATATTTTATTTTGACCGAGAAAACACATCATATGTATAATGTTTGTAAATTTCGTTACTACACACAATGTGTTTTATAATGTGTAGAAGCAACGCACGCAGTGGATGAAATCTCAGTAACAAAGATAATCTCAGACCACCACACCGGTATTGTGTGAACAACACATGATTTCTATAATGTATAGACTGCTTAACTTACACAAGGAACTTCAAACAATTTCTTCAATATTTTAGAAAATTTCAATAGTGATGTATTTAATTAAATCAAGCACACAGTTTATATGATTACTTGCTTTCATTTTTCACATATTTTGGTGAAAGAAACTTGCCTGTGGTGGATCCAGACTACGTCAAAATAAATAACTGCAGCACGTTTTGGCGTATATTTACATTTCTAAACGCCTTAGAGGCTAATCCATTGGTAAAATTATATCCTTTAGAAACTAATTTATTGTTTTTCTGAATGTAATTTGAATTAAAAACTGAGTAACTATAACTTATTTTGACGTACACTGGATCCGCCACTGAAACTCGCAATAACAACCAGGGGCTTGGGAAGCCGTGCGTGTCTTGGTGTCCGTACACCTACAACTTTGGAAAGAGGGTGTTTTTTATAGAAAGAACATTGATTTTGCTTTTTGTTTGATAGTTTGTACTATCGTTTTTACCAAATTTTCAAATTAATGAACGAGCACCAGGATCGAACAAATTTTAATCGGTGTGTAAACATGCGAAACAAACCATATGCTTTCACTTTTGCTTTTATTCTGCTACGTCATTTAAACATTCTAACAGTGGCGTAGGAAGCACGTTAAATTGCGGGAGGATGCATAAGCTTCTAGGGCATTTGCTAGTGAATAGGGCAGGCTTAACAAATTCTTTTGCGGTTTTCTAATGGCAAATCAAATCCCTTATTTGTTTGGGAACATCGGGCAAAAGGTTATTTTATTGCTTTTCCATATACTTGTGATTATAATATAAAGTAACTATTGGGAAATCTTTTAGCAGATGCAGTAGATAATTAAAGGAAGCAACATTTATAAATATGCAGCAACAAATGCACAAGGTAAGAAAGCAAATCAATTTCTTTCAGGTTCAACCGTGTGGGGAAGCAAAATTTCCATAATCCTAAAGACACCATTCGGCAATTCTTTAACGTGTGATTTGCTTCATTGAAAAATAAAGTTCTGTCGAATGATTTTTTTATAGATGATGTTTCGTGTCATAGCAATAAAGAGTGTCACTACTCTTACTAGAATTCCTTTACCTCAAGCAAATTACCCGACTTAATCAATCTAAAACAACTTTATACCACCACAGAACCACCCACAAGTCACAATGGAAACAACTCCAAATTCAGAACCTCTTTTACTTGGCATTCTTTATACAAAAATCTCCCATTTACGGCAAAATGAAATTTTCACTCATCATATCATACAATACAACTTGATGCCAATGCCTTACATTCCACCCTTAATGGTGTTTGTGCCCACAACAACCGTTCTTTCTTATTGTGGAACGAAGTATTGTCTTCTTTACAAAAGCGCACCCAGACAGATTTGCTTAATTCAACTTAATTTTAATGATAGCAGTAAGATTGATTTGACCTTTCGTTAATTTGTTTCATCCTTTAAGAGGGAAGCAGTCGTTTTCAGGTTGCATTTGCGTGATAGGACAAGCGAAATGTTTGTGTTTCGTTTTTTGTTCTTACTCCCTCTTGTTGAGGGCGTTGCTTGTTCTTATTTGGCACGTTTGTTTCTTTCTCATCATTGAGTACTGAAATCTTCATCTTAAAATGATCAAAGTCCGGGGAAAGCAGGAGAAAAGGGTACTTCTGATGGATAGACGGTATAAGCCAATAGGGTAAAGAACGCATTTTTACCATGAAGGCACGTTCAGCAAAGCAAGTGATGGAATCCCGAATGGAATTAGAGATTCGATGGAATATGGAAGCACATCCCACATCTCAGATTACGAATCCCTTTTTTCTTATCCAGATGACAGCAACGAGCCAAATCTCAGCAAAATTCCTGAAAACAAACAGAAGTTTTACTGGATGCCAAACAGCGAGGATATCAAATCCATGTCAAAATCTGGTACATTGCACATTAAACAAGGACGGCATAGTTGGATCTAAAAGGTTTAAAGATGGGACAGAGATGATTAACGAGAAGCTCTTTTAGTAGGACGGGAACGTATACGCTATCTGTCTTGGTGTAGACCAATATTCCTTCCGAAGATTGCCAAAAATCGGCAATATCATATGAGATATTGTTTCTTAGAAGTTATTGATCTTAACATCCTCAACATGCATAAAGTTATAAACAACTTTGAAACCTCCGATGCATTTCTTGACTATTCTTCTCGCACTCAAGCATAAGTACCCATTACATGCCATACTCAATCGACGAGACTGATCCAACTTAATCAAGATCATATTGGCGATGAGAAGATAGAGTTCAGAATATTGGGAATTTTGCATTTAAGAAAAAAGTAGAGTACAACGTTCTCGTCTGCACTGCATTGTATTTTATTTGTTAAAACGTAAATACTCGATTTTCGCAGAAAGCTTATTTCATTCGTCAACTTTTTATTTATAAGTGTTCATCTACATAATTTCAACTTATTGTGTTTGTTGAATGCATTTTTTGATTTGTCTGCCTCAAATCTCTGATTTTTTTTACTTCTTCGGTTTAGGAGACTTAACAACCATGGTTGCTAATTCAGAAAATACAAGAACATATATTTCTTATTGTAGAATCTACTTGGAATGTTATCGAACATCGATAGAATGAAACAAAATTTGCCACGTAAATTTGACTTGATTTACATGACAATTTCACAGCATAATGAGTTTACTAGTACGAGACAACATTTTTTACTACACAACGTTCTCACAACATTCATTGTCTCTCTTGACGACGTTACAGTTCATAATGAACAAGCTACGTAACAAGTGTTTAAAAGTTTATCTCGAGTTCTCTCAATCTTATTCCTCGAAGATAACATTTTCACAAAGCACACAGCCCGTTTTGCTTTTTCCGAGCTCAAACTACAGTCAAAAAGTTTATACGTCTAGAAACCATTCATCCAAGACTATAAATTGGTTGGAAGGTATAAGCAATACTGGTAAAGAACGCATTTGTCCAGGGCGTCACATTCAACAACAAGAATGGCAGCCTAAATGGAATGAAGAATTCAGTAGACGCAAAACTTACGATCACATCTCTGACTACGAATGTCCTTTTCCTTTCTCAAGAAATCTGATCTAAGAATACTTAGTTCAGACGAACGGATAGTTTTGAAGTCTGCCAAACAGCAAGGATACGCAATCCCAATAAAAGACCTAGTACATCATACAAGTAAAAAGCTGATATAATTAGATCGAAAGGAATTCTGGGCGGAAAAAAGAAGATCAACGAGACAAGTGGTGAGAGCGTATATGCTTATCTCTCTTGGTGGAGTACAATATTTGACGAAAATGTTGTCCGTAATCTGCAAGATCACATGAAAAATTGTTTCTTGGAATTGAATAATCGCAAACTCAATGACATAGATGTGATTAAGAATCAGTTTGGAGCTTCTGATGCATTCTTGCCATATACTATTCGCAATCAAGGTGAAAAATGTTCCCATAGCTTTATTTACTCAATCGATGAGCTAGTTGATTCCTATCAACAACATGTTGGAAGGGTCGAGAAAATCGAGTTTAGAATATTGGGAACTTTTGCATATAAATTTAACATGAAGGAGTTCATGGGTAAAATATTCTGTTTTAAAAGGTCTTTATCATCATCATGCTCAAAAAGTATGCTAATTTTGATATGCAACGTCTGTTAAGCCTAGTTCTCATTCATCGCAAAACGTCGGCGATAAAGCTTTTGCGACGTCGGCGAGCGCTTACTATTAATGAGAACGCTTTAAAAATTATGTCGCCGATTTTTTTGACGATCGCCGAGCGTCGGCGCTGCCATCGCAAGAAAAAAAATGGTTTGTTTCTTGCGATCATCGCCGATCATTACCGACAACTTTCCATAATCTAGTCCAACATGGCTGCTTTTGAAAATGACGAAGAATCAGACTTTGTTGAGTCATGCTCATAAACCACAAAAACATGTTAAGGAAATAGTATGTGCGTAGTTTGTAGTTTAGTTTATCAATGTATCCGTTCCCACACAGCTAAGAGCCAAGGAAGGGTTATTGACGTTAGTTAAATTTCCTTATGTACCATATATAGCTTAAACAGAGGAACTACTCCGACCAATAATAATATTTGTTGTTTGTAATAAAGAGTATAAATACTTCTCTGTAAAATAATAAAAATCAGTTCGATCATTAAGTTCACTCGTGGTTGTTACTGAAGTTATAGAGTATACTAAGAAAGAGATATGGCGAGCAACTCGAACACAACAGACTTCGATTCAGTGCAAGCATTAAATATTCTTGCTGTTAAAGCAAATTACAGTGATAGAAGCTTTATGGAAATTATTCGTGACTTTCCCACGATATACGACAAGCGAACAAACGGTTTTCATGACAAACGAAAGAAAGCTAACTGCTGGCGACGAATAGCTGAATTGCTTGAAACTACAACAGAAGAAGTGGAAAGGAGATACAAGACTATTCATCTCACTTGTAAAAGGCTGGCTGCCCCGTCTTCTTTAATAATTTCTTCAGTAAGTTTCCATGTAAGTCAGGATGTTCAATAAATGAAATAAATAATAGTAAATTGTGAAAGGTTTATTGGCATAAAGCTTACAAGTCAAAACTCTTTGTTTTTACTTCAGTCATAGCTAAAGCAAAAAATTTGCATTTCATATTTAATTGGGTATGAACAGAATTCAATATTTTACAATAAAAACAGCAGGTGATTAAAATTGAACATTTATTGAACATTCCAATTTCTTTATTATCAAGCAGAAGCAAAGACATCACGTAGTTGGTTGCGTCGTCCTTAATCTCTCAAAATTTGTTAAGGATGATGATTGAAAGGTTTACCTTTCATCGTATCATTGTTGTTCTTATGTATAGAATTTTGTTATATTTGTCATAAAAAAATGGAATGTCATTTTCGTGGTGGAATTCGCACTTCATATGTTTTATGTTGATACATCTGTTGACTTTAATGGAATTTTCTCATTAACACATAGGATAATTTATCATTTCAAAATACTAACCTTTCTTGCATTACCACCAAGAATTAATTTCACTAGTCTTTTCAAATATCATTGGTACGGCAGGGATAAAAAATCAACAAGATGAATAAAAATCATGACACGTCACAGAATTTCAGTTATGCATATCATAAATGCAGAATGATTTTAATTTTATCTAACATGGCTTTTATCAAGAAGAATTTTTTCCTTCTTTATACAGTCATACATGCATTTATCTTATTCGTAACACAGATGATGACATAAAAACGTTTTGCTAGGTATGACTTTAAAATTGCGCGTAATTGGAGTAAAAGCTCACTTTTCACGTGATAGTACACGTGCTTTCTTTCTGGTCTATAATTGTTCAACTTGTTGTAAGATAGACTATTTAAAATATTTGTTTGCGTCAAAAGTTCACAAAATAACAAAACTTTACATGATGAATTGTCAAGAACAAACGCTATTAATTTTGAAGTATCTCTGATTACTGAGATGTAACAAAACTATTCTAAATTAGAGACTTTGAGATCAATTACTCTGATATTCCCCTTTTTAATTAAAGATTGCTCCTAAAATGTTGAGCCCCCCATCATATACTTGCTTCTCAAGCCCCTGATCAAATTATTTGTTTATCCGGATCAAAAGTTTACAAAATGACAAAACTTCATTGACCGCGTTTCAAAGTTGGAACGCTGACAATTTCAGAGAAGCTCTGTTTATCGATTTTCTTAACTTCCTAAATTCTAAATCTTTAATTTTTGAGCTATCTTATCTGTAAAAAGCTGGAAACCGCGTTTTACTTCATGATTGTTTCAGTTAATTTCCATGTAAGTCAGGATGTTCAATAATTGAAGTAAATAATAGTAAATTGTGAAAGGTTTATTGGCATAAAGCTTACAAGTCAAAACTCTTTGTTTTTACTTCAGTCATAGCTAAAGTAAAAAATTTGCATTTCATATTTAATTGGGTATGAACAGAATTAAATATTTTACAATAAAAACAGCAGGTGATTAAAATTGAACATTTATTGAACATTCCAATTTCTTTATTATCAAGCAGAAGCAAAGACATCACGTATTTGGTTGCGTCGTCCTTAATCTCTCAAAATTTGTTAAGGTATGATGATTGAAAGGTTTACCTTTCATCGTATCATTGTTGTTCTTATGTATAGAATTTTGTTATATTTGTCATAAAAAAATGGAATGTCATTTTCGTGGTGGAATTCGCACTTCATATGTTTTATGTTGATACATCTGTTGACTTTAATGGAATTTTCTCATTAACACATAGGATAATTTATCATTTCAAAATACTAACCTTTCTTGCATTACCACCAAGAATTAATTTCACTAGTCTTTTCAAATATCATTGGTACGGCAGGGATAAAAATCAACAAGATGAATAAAATCATGACACGTCACAGAATTTCAGTTATGCATATCATAAATGCAGAATGATTTTAATTTTATCTAACATGGCTTTTATCAAGAAGAATTTTTTCTTCTTTTATACAGTCATACATGCATTTATCTTATTCGTAACACAGATGATGACATAAAACGTTTTGCTAGGTATGACTTTAAAATTGCGCGTAATTGGAGTAAAAGGTCACTTTTCACGTGATAGTACACGTGCTTTCTTTCTGGTCTATAATTGTTCAACTTGTTGTAAGATAGACTATTTAAAATATTTGTTTGCGTCAAAAGTTCACAAAATAACAAAACTTTACATGATGAACTGTCAAGAACAAACGCTATTAATTTTGAAGTATCTCTGATTACTGAGATGTAACAAAACTATTCTAAATTAGAGACTTTGAGATCAATTACTCTGATATTCCCTTTTTAATTAAAGATTGCTCCTAAAATGTTGAGCCCCCCATCATATACTTGCTTCTCAAGCCCCTGATCAAATTATTTGTTTATCCGGATCAAAAGTTTACAAAATGACAAAACTTCATTGACCGCGTTTCAAAGTTGGAACGCTGACAATTTCAGAGAAGCTCTGTTTATCGATTTTCTTAACTTCCTAAATTCTAAATCTTTAATTTATTGAGCTATCTTATCTGTAAAAAGCTGGAAACCGCGTTTTACTTCATGATTGTTTCAGTTAATTTCCATGTAAGTCAGGATGTTCAATAATTGAAGTAAATAATAGTAAATTGTGAAAGGTTTATTGGCATAAAGCTTACAAGTCAAAACTCTTTGTTTTTACTTCAGTCATAGCTAAAGTAAAAAATTTGCATTTCATATTTAATTGGGTATGAACAGAATTAAATATTTTACAATAAAAACAGCAGGTGATTAAAATTGAACATTTATTGAACATTCCAATTTCTTTATTATCAAGCAGAAACAAAGACATCACGTAGTTGGTTGCGTCGTCTTTAATCTTTCGAAATTTGTTAATGTATGTTGATTGAATAGCTTACCTATCATAGTGTCATTATATGTTCTTATGTATAAAATTTTGTCATATTTGTCATAAAAAAATGGAATGTCATTTTGGTGGTGAGATTCGCACTTCATATGTTCTATATTGACACATCTGTTGACTTTGGTGGGATTTTTCCAATAACACATTGCATAATTTATCAATACAAAATTCTGACCTTTCTTGCATTATCAGCAACAATTAATTTCGCTAGTCTTTTCAAATATCATTGGTACGGCAGAATTGGTAGCCCAAGCATGCATCATGCATGGCACCTGAACAGAACAACGGCAGAATTAAAAAATCAACAAGATGAATCAAAATAATGACACGTCACAGAATTTCAGTTAAAGGACATTGGCAGCGAAAATTTTTATGGCATATTTTTGAACATTTGTGATGTCTAACAACTAAAATAGCAAAATCTTTTTTTCAAAAATATTTTGTCGCTGAGATATTTGCAGCAAAAGTTTTATAAATTTCGACATCTTGGATAAAATTTTGATAAAATTATCTCGAGCGGTAGTGACGTCATTGGCTGGTAAGCAGTCAAAACAACAATACAATATACTTTGTGCACATAATAGATAACGTAACAGAAGGGCCACTGTCGTCAGAGCCTATGAAGATTTTGTTGTCAACTTTTAGCCCGCAATCAGGCATCGCCGCCATGTTCGCAGCAAAATAATTCCAGCAAGTTCGTAATAGAAAATATAGTAATGAGAAACAGTTCGGCGCGTCCTCGACAATTATATGGCTATTACATTTTTGTTTTGTGTATGCAATCGCGAGCAATGTCAAAGAAGGTAATTTTGACAACTTAGGTCGAATCGCATCGTTAGAATACACGTTTTAGAGTCAAAATTTGTTGTTGTGGTCTGATGCTTTTGCCAACTTGCCAACATTCAATCATGGTTATGCTTGTATTGCGAGTTACAATGAAAAGGATCATCAACTTTGTCTATGGAATTTTCCTTGTAGTAAGTTTGTAGAATGTTACAAATGTTTGACTTTAATGTACTTTCGCGATCTTTTATTAGAAGAGGAAAACTCGCGATTTGCAAATTTGATGCCGTAATAAATTCGCATTCTTAAAAAAGTTTGACCAAATATTGCCGGGGAAACTGTGAACATGTACGGAATGGCACTGGTATCATGTTAAGACTCTTCAAGATGCTCTTTCCAACATTCAGATTTTTGGTTGTGACAGAGAAGCAATCCACGAAGGTGTCTTCAAGTTGCATAATCTAATTTAAATAGCACGATGAAGGAGCAGTCAGCCCACCAAAGTTGAGTTCTTTATATGTTTTGAAATAGGAAAGCAAATTAACATCATTGTTTATGTTATTTGAAGTCAAAACGTTCTTACATTGGATACAGCTGTGGATTTTGAAAGCTTTGCTTAGCAAATATCCTGAAACATAGGCAGCAGCATTTTTGAGCAATAAATTGTTGCTAATATTTTGTTCTCGGTAGTCATTTTCACCAATCAACACTGAGTTACTTGGAGCTTTTGCATGGGTAAGTGGCATACTAAATGGTTTGGGCTTTTTTTGAAAATTGTGTTAGCAGAGTGTCCATATCTTTAGAACAGTTTCCTTTGGAAGAGGTCAAAAGTGAACTGAAAAAAACCTTTCGAAAAGCTCTGATAAATTGTTTTGGCGTGGGATTGTCATAATTACCTCCTTGATGGCGTATTGTTCCAAAAAAAAGTCTCTAGAGCATCTGTGTTTAATCTTCTGATAAGCAAGAATGCAAAATTATGTGAGGTATGAAAATAGGTCCAGAAACAGATAATGGCCTTTATAGATATAAGCCATCCCTTCAGTGATTTGGTTCTGCCTGTGATGTTTTTACCATTTTCACCACTTTGATTCCCTGTATAAAGGACATTGCTTCTTTGAGAAAAGCAATGTGACTATTGCTGTTGCTTATTGCACTTCTTTGTTCTTTTGCTGATTTCAATGTGAAACTATTGACTCAATCGAAAAGCGAATCAAATTTGAAAAGCAACTCAGCTGTACCCAAGGCTGATGGTGGTAGTGCTCCAATTGATGAATATGTGCAAATCGATGCAGCAACGGTGTGGCTGAATATTTGTGTAGCACATTTAACTTGAAAATTAATCTGAAAATTAATGCAGCGACAGCGATGTAACGAAAATAACAATATATATATATATCAGTAGAAGCAAGAGGACAATTTTATTTCCTTACAACGGAATCAATACTTTAAATTATCTAAAACATGACAAATATAAGGAACATATAGTTAAGAGCATCTGGAAGTTAGCTACAATCATACAATATAAGAATTTTCCCAACACAATATGGCATTGGCATTAAATACAATTGCACAAGTTTGCAATTTCTCAATGAGCATTTATCGAGTGTTTGGGATATGACTAAATTTGTCTGAATTCTAAAGCACCAAATCCAATATCATACGAAGTATCTTTTTTAGTGTAGCCCGTCCGTTGATAAATTTCACATTGTTCCTTCTTGTTTCTGATTTAAAGACGTTCGTTAAGCGCTTCTCCGCTTCCGTTCTTTACAAATAACTAAATACGAATAACCTTGACCACACGGCCACGGCACAGCATTTCTCATACAGGTCTCGATAGAATTGTACACATTGGTTGTACATGAAAAGCATAAAATATGTTGATTGTTTGTTCCCATTTCAGCACGATGCTGAGGGTAGGTCTTGATTGCCTTTATTAACCACAGCTTTGATTTAGTCGTCTCAGGATGAATATTTCAACTTTTCAAGTAGTAACGCCAAGATTTTTGAGTTGTACATTGCTACTCTTATTCAGTGTAGCAAGTTTATCTTGCTGCCAACATGGCGGAATAAGCGCATGCGCATTAAAATTTAGGACCGCATTTTTCGCTAAGTGGCCCTTCTGTTACGTTATCCATTCTGTGCTTTGTGATTGACGGCGTTGCAACACATTTAAAGCATATTTTACGGTTTTTTTTGCTGTAATGGATGACATACGCGAAAATCAACCGGGTTAGGTTCTGCCCTATCAATATGAACCTGAAATGAAGGCCGAAACAAGTGAAGAAAGCGGTTCCGAACAGGAGAGTGAGCGGGGCGACTTGTCCTCGTCGGAGGATGAAATAGATGCTGAAGTTGAGAAAGCAAATGCTTGGCGCCTTCAAACTCTTAGTTGGTGTAAGTGTGGACATTGTACTTTGTCAAAAAAGGCAATCGAGTGTTTTTGTTGCCTCGAAAAAGCGCTTGAATACGATGAGTATGAGGCTTTGCTAGGCCAAACAGAAACTCGAGGAGAGTATTGCTTGACAACACCAAGAATTTAGGGACAATATGCTATTTGAAAGTGTGTTAAAGATTGACGTGTGTCGGTATTTTGAAAAAAACTGGCCCCTGTCTGATGAGGAGCTGGCGAGAATACACAAGCTGTCTGGATTAGTCGCATATCAAAGATGTTCTAGGTGGATTTTTCAAATTTTAGGGAATAAACATCGAAGACCATTTCCTGCTTGTGTTTATGCTAACATACGAAAACGCTTCGCGTCACCAGACGGACTTTATACACATTTTAAATACGCATATTATCACGAAAGACCGTAAATTTAAAGTCTTAGACAGACGCTCTTTGATGTTCTTTGTTATGACCTGCAATTGCGATGCCATATCATTGTCGAAGGATTGCACGAACTGCGCAAAAGGAAAATGCATGAGTGATTCACCCAAAACTTGTATTCATTCATAAGTTATAAAGTTAATTGAAAAGTGTACTTGTACATTGTGCACGCAAACACGCACGTAAAACATTACGAATAAACGCAACTCTACAATCATGAACAAAACATAGTGGCTTATAGCTTATCACCTATATAAAACTACATAATCTCGCAAAGACTCTTATGTATATAAATAATTAATTAAATGTATAACTCTTTGTTGGTCACAGGTTTGTAATATGGGAAAATAAAATATTTCTATTGCACGAAATGTTCAGTGTACAAAACACGCTTATTGTTGTCTGGGCTTACACTTGGTATGTCGCGAAAGCCTAGTTGTAAGATCTGCTAAAATAAACGTTTCTACGTCTTATAACGACTAAATATTGGAAAAGTATATAAGCGTGATATACTACACAATTTTGTTAATCTTAACAACCGCCGACTGTTGTTTTTGTTTTAAAATTCCAGTGAACAAATGTGCTATATATTATCCTAATACTATTATTTTATATTGTGTCATTCAGTTGATACCAGGCAATGACGTCAGTAATGTATTCCGGCAAAATTTAGCATAAGGCTTTTTTTCCAAAAAGGCGGATAAGGATTCAACTTTAGGTCAAATTTTCTCAACAGCAAAATTAAAAGAGACACGATAACACGAAATTAAGTATTCCATAGCTATCTATAATAAACGTATGAAAAAAAATTTCATTGCCATTGTCCTTTAAAGATGTTTAGAAGCTATAGACTCCTTACATTTAACTGCAATATAACATAAATCACTTACGTTTTAACAGAAGCCAAGACTGCTGTTGATACTGTTTGAACTTAGCTAAGCAAGGCTTAGCGTGAAGTCAGGAATAATTACAAAAGTAATATTTTCTGGATTAAATGTGATAAAAAGCTTACTTCTATAAAATAAGAAACAGTTGGCTGCATGTAGTTTCGAGTTTAGAATGCAAGAGTTGAAGAACACTTGAAAAACTTTTAAAAGAATTGGTTAGTAGAACAACCCAATTAATCTCAACCTCACTCCAGAATTATGTTTTGGGAAAGAAAATAACATGTTTTGCATTTTTATTCACACTAGAAAATTCAGAAACAGTTCAGTCATGGCGGGGTCAGAGATACCATGGATAGAGGGAGTGGCAAATAAAGGTAAAGAACTTATTTTCCCTGGAAGACACGTGCAACAACACGAGTGGAAGCCAGAATGGAATCGTGAATTTCGTAAACACTATGACTACATCTCAGATTACGAATGTCCTTTCTTTACTCAAAGAAAGACACGAGCCAATTCTCAGCCAGACAAAAAAGAAAATTTGCGGGCTGCTAAACAGCAAAGAGATCAATCCTAATCGACACTCTGGTTCATCGCACACCATTTCCTAACATGAATAGAATAATTTCAGATAAAGGCTTTAAAGGCGGCAAGAAAAAGATCAATAAGAGGCAAAAGCTTATTTGTCTTGGTGGAGTCCACGTGTCAGCAATGATGTCTGCAAAAATCTGCAAGATCAAATGCAAACGTTTTTCTCGCAATTTGCCGATGATAAAATCAACAGCATAAATGATATTACAGAGCAGTTTGGAGAATCCGATGCATTTTATCTTGGTCGTTATCGCGGTCAAGGGCATGAATGTGAGTATTATTTTGAATACTCAATCGACGAGCTGCTTAAATCTTATCAAGACCATATTGGCGATGAGAAGATGGAATTTAGAATACTGGGAACTTTTGCATACCTTGTCAAAGTAGAGTACAACGTTCTCGTTTGCAGTGAAAGCGCTGGGAAAGATGAATTTGCTGAATACCCGCTCGTACCGGAAGAGAACAATGTCGTAACGAGAGATAATGAGGGCAAATTTCGGTGGTATCCACAGGCTACGGGAACCGTAATCAAGCGTTTTCACTCCTACCAAATTGATCCAGAGTACAGGCGGTATGATCGTGTATCTTTTGCATTTCATGTGCGAGAAGGAGATATATTTGAAACAGATTGTGTGAAAGATAAAGGCAAGAAAATACCACCTGAATAATTCACAAAAGCCAACTCACGACGCTTTATTTACAGCTAAATTTAGTACAAAAATACATCCCATTCTAAAGTCTGTTTGAGATATATTACGGCAATCGTTCAGTAAATCGTAGGCCAAAGCCACATAAAACGGTTTTGGTGGACATTGCATGATATCCGTAATTCGCTTAATTCTAAACGAAAGAGATTTCTGAGTTCTGACGTTTGTCAAATATTAGAAAAATTCAATAAAAATTCATAGATTGAAACAATGAAACGCCTCAATTATTTGCTTTCATTTGACATTTTTATCGGTTATGCATCTAAATGCATATTTCGTTCGAACAAAACATACGTTGCCGGATATGGCGAAGAGCACATATTACACAATTTAGTCGAAAAGGTTTTGTAATGTAAAATAGGGACTTTATCCTTATAATAAAATTCTAAAATTTTTTTATTGAAAAATAGTAAATACCATGGTGAAAGGTCGAAATAACAATATAATAGTCCTTAAAAGAATGTTTAAAAATAGAACACTAACTCAATAGTTATAAAAGAACTGTTTTAAAGTTGAAAGACACAGTGCTGTAGAACTAAATTTATCAGATGGGGGGCTCTCTTGACGTTTTTGTTAATAGTGCCCTTTTAAAATTACCCATTTCAAAGGTAGAAGGGGGGCTCCCCAAGCGCCCCCCCCCCCCACTTCTACAGCACTGGAAAGACACTAGAGAGCTTTAGCAAGAGTACGACTACGACAACGAGTACGAAGTTTGACCGTGTTATGGAATAGCACGAGGAAGTTTGTTGTCATTGTCCCTTCGTCAAAAGAGAGGTTTAGCTGTAAACAACAGAACGAGCCTTTTTATTGTGAAGAACACCGACGTTTGCGAAGCAGCTACGGCTCTATTTGTCAATAACGATATCAAGTAATCGGTAATACTGGTTTTGTGAGAACATATGACTCTTTAGAGTGAAAAATCTTCACTGTTTTAAATTTTATGTACGATATATTTATGCTATTTTATTGTTTGTTTACCGTTCACTTTGAGTACAAAATACATGAAAGTTTTCAAGGTCATATTTTCCTTTTAAATGTACATCTGCGCTCAAAACGGTTCTAAAAAAAACCGGATACTTAAAAATAGTACTATAAACTAAATTCTTACACAATGAAAAAATAACTACTTTCTTTCTTAGCGAAAAGACATCGTAGTCGCGACTACGAATTTTTTACAAAACATGGTACTCAGATTGATTGACAGCTACGTGTTGTTGTTGTCGCAACAATGTTATTGCGCCAAAATGACGTAATTCGTACCCGTAGTCGTTTAAGTATCCGGTTTTTTTTAGAACCGTTTTTGAGCGCAGATGTACATTTAAAGGGGAACTCCACCCAAAAATAATGTTGGTCTTAAAAGTTCCATTTTTATGCAAAGGTTACTATATTTTTGAAATTTTTACATCAGCTATTTTATTTTTGACAAAATCGCGTCTTCAAGTGCGCTATTTGAGCTGTTTTGAGGCTTAGCAGCGTGGGCACAGAAAGCGTCAGCGGAAATTATTTTGACGTCATATCGTCAAACCGATTTGGAGTTGAGTTTACAACAAAGTAAAATAATAACGCACAGCCTAGCACAAAAACAAAACAATCGCTTATAATGGCTTTTTTGGAAGAACCTCGGCCTAATTCACCAATCGATAGTGAAATGGAAGACAATCCAACAAACAATATTCGGCCATATCAGTTTGAGCCCGAATGGCCGGCTGATGAACACGAAGAAGCTCACCAGTTTGAGGATAACGAAGAACAGGAATTTTTGTATATTGACGATGAATCTCGGCGCGACAATCTTGAATGGTGGGTAGTAAAATGTTATATTATTCTAGACCATTGTTTCTATCTCAAAAGTACGTTTTCAGTTTTTGAAGTTGACCACGTCCACACACACATAATACTTTAGATTTTAAAGTTTTATTGTAAGATACAATTTTATTGAAGTTTTGACATTTACTTTTCAAGATCCTTTCTTTTAACATATTCAGGTGTCAATGTGGTAACTGCCAAATAATGGATAATAACGAGGAATGTTTATGCTGCAAAGAGATTTCCAATATTTGTGACAAAATTTAGAGGCAGTAGAAACGAATGAGACCACCGAAGTCCCTTTGTGCATTACACAACATCCTGGTTTTGAGCCTGTTTGTCTTAACAGGTGGGTTTTACAAACAGCTTGGTACCAGTACAAGCAGCAATATGAGGTAGCATATGATGGGCCCGAGGACAAACTGTATCGCCATATTGCATATAGACAGTTGGCAAGATGGTGCTGGGGTGTCTTGGGTAGAGAAGTGAGAGTCATCTTGCCATCATGTGCAGTTACTCGCATTAGAGAAACATTTCCTCCACCTGACCTTGCAGAAGAATTTCAATTTGAAGGCTTTTACTATGTTGATGAATGAAGTATTTTATTATGATATAGGTATACCCATTACAATTACTTTGTATGTCAATATTAAAGTGGCATAGCCAGCTCATTTATAGGTCATGCTATGCACATTTATTATTATTAATTTATTACAAAAAACAGATTTACAAAGAAATGATTATAAATGTGGCTTGGCTATTACACTGGTTATAATATAACTATAATTAATTACATGAATAGTTTGTGTAATGCAGTGGTGAAACTAGCTATAGCAAAAGGTTTTGCTATGTTAATATTTAAGAATGAACATTTTTTAAGTAGTACAAAAGTTGTCTTCACTGATTCAACGTCATATTATATGGGTATGGCAAAACCTATTGCCATAGCTAACATCACCACTGACATTTTATGCAAATCTAGACTGATGTTCCTTTACAAGTACTTCTTTCCTGGGTGGACATGATTTAGAAATGTTCTTTGGAAGATTCTCGCCATGATGTACAAGTTCAATCTCCTCAGTTTTGCATGCATTCACAACCTCCGCAAGTAGTTTATCAATGTACTGGTACTCTTTCTTTTCTTTCATTGCTTTTACAACCCATTGCTTCTGTGTTTTAGCAAACAACATTTTGTAACGGTCTTGCCCTTTGTTTGTCCCTGACTTAATGACTGCTTTATCACGTTTAATATTGTTGTTGTGATCTAATGCTGCTAACTGAGTGTGGGCTACCATCCCGGGAAATGGAAAATGCTCTCGCTTTGGGCAGGTCTTTTAGAAGCCTCTTGTCACATATCACCTTCTCGGCAGCGATATATGCTTGTGAATAGGAGATAACCACTTCTTCTGCTTTGTTTCTTTTTCTGTTAATTGTTGGTGGCAACATTGATGAAAATATGTGTTCCCCTTCCAGAAATGCTTGTTGGAAATGTGGTTAAGGACAGACTTCCATTTTTCCACCAATTCTTCTGCATTCTTGTTACAACTTGCAGAGCACCACCAAAGATGATTAGAAATGGACTTAATCCAATGGGTCAAGTCATCATTTCCCTTAATGTTAGCCTTCTTTGTTAGTTTTTTTGTGACAGATTTAGACAAATGTCACACATCATATTGGTGATCAATATGAGGGTGTTTGTTTTTCAGCCTCTGCATCCACAGTATTCAGCATCGACAGTGTAGTTTGGACTTCCATGGCATGTAAACTCCTCACAACAAATGAACACTGTGTTGATGCATCTTTGGTTTCTGGCTTGCAATAATTAGTTGGCAATGCTTCAGGACTGTCAGACGCACCCAAATCACAACTGTTATTTGCTTCAGGCTCAACCACTGAGAAAACATTTGTACTTGTGGAGGAACATTGTTCTAAAATATTTGAAAGCTGAAAATAAAATAAAATATTTAGAATATACTTTAGGCTATAACTTCTTCTTGATTAAAATTTAACAAGAAATGCTTTTACTAACTTCCTCCTTGTCTTGATCAGCCTGACGTTTCTCTGTACGATGCTCGCTAGACAGACGCTTTTTACTGGGTTGAGGGCCAAATGAAAAGATCGATGGTACTGCATCCCGCTTCAGTCGCCTTTTTAAAGGTTGCCATGGTGTAAGTTTCTGTCTTAGGTCCGATTCAAAACAATCGGGAGCAAAGTGCTCGCTGCAAACGTAACAGTATTGGAGAGGAGGTAGATTTTCTCTCCGTATTCTAGCAATCCATTATTATACAATTATGTACAATAATTAGGAAACTATAAGTTCATACTTTACGTCAAGGAAACTACAACTTAATTCTATGCACGAAAGGCTATTTTACAATGGTTTTATGTAGGATTATTTTCTAACCGTAATGAGTTACACA